GAAATTGCAATTCCATTGAATACTCCAAAATTCAACTGATTTTTTTAATAAGGAATGAAAATTTCGTGTGAATGTGTGATTGTTAAAAATTTCAAGATTTTTTAATTGGAATTTCGGAGTCATTTTCAAAATGTGAAATGTTGCTTGAGGTAAACAAAGACTTCATTACAGTGTTGAAAATTTCCGGCGGAAATTTACGGGTGGCTTCCTGGGAATTTTTGTCAAGTAATATTTTGAGGAATTTTGACATTAGAAATTCAGAATTCAGTGATTAAATCACTGGAAACTACGATTTGTTTCTCAATATGCATATTTTGATTGAACGTTCAAGTAAATTGAAGAATTCTCGTCTTTTTGCTGTTCAAAATTTGGAATTCCATTGAATTTTCTGGGATTTTTACTCGCTACATTGAATTTGATGGAGCTCTCTTCAAAATTACTATAAACAACCTCAATAAAAATTTTATGCAGACATTATAAAATGTTATTAACGAAGAAAAAATGTCAAGAATTTTTTGTAGAAAATTTCAAGAGCTATAAGAAAAATCTTGTGCCATGTCAAAAATTGTTTAGCCTCACTTTCTGGAGACTATTATCAAGTAACAGTTCCACTGAAATTTCAAGGGATTTCATAGTTGAAAATTCACAATTCTCTAAAAAAAATAGTAATTGTTCATTTCAGTTCAATTATTCCATAAAAATTAAGGGAAATTCGAAAACTTCAGGTGAACAATTCTAAAATTCCCAATTAATCGAGAGATATGTGTAATTTTTTTACTAATATTTTAATTGAGAATGCAAATGAGTTTGGGAGTTCACGATTTCTCGTTGCTGAAAATTCAAAATTCAAAATCATGAAATTTCAGATTTTTTCGTAGCAGAGAATGTAACGAATCATTCATTTCATCCACTTAAAATATTTCCACACAAGTAAATACAATCAGTTCAAAGACAGTTAGATTTTATTTAATTCCTCTCGATAAATCGCGAAAAAAAAATATTATTTTCAAATTAGAAAGTAATATTTTCGTAATTCGTCCAAATAGATTAGTATATTGTTTTTGAGGTGCTGAAAAACAACTCTTAAACCTCGCTGAACTAAAAATGGTGTGAAAATTATGGTGGGGAAAACCCCTTGAGTATCCATTGGACTTTTTGGTTTGGGCCATTCCCCCAGTCTCGTCATAAATCAAGTGACAAAGCCACTTGGGGAAGTACCCACACGACGAGAGTCCCTTTTCTCTCTCACTTGTCATTGTTATTTGAAACAAGCCGAGAGAATAATGACCGTACCGATCGAAAGTGAGGACTGGGGACAACAAATCGGTGGGGGTGGCAGACTTCGACAATGAGACCACCAGTCGATACCTGACGGTCTCTATAGTACGGGGGTGAGGGTACGAGGACAGGTCATTACTTGTCGTATTCGCCCTGTGTGAATTTTCACTGTACCCGGTGTTCAATTATGATGACGAATTTTCCTCGGTTTAATGACTGGGAAGGGCCCCGATTGTTTCACGTCCGGGGAAATCGCTTCTCGGAATCTATTACAGGTGAATGAGTAGAAGTTTTCCCCAATTAAATGAAATTGTCAATTAATTTGATAAGTATTAAATCATTTTATTTCTTCTTTTTTAATGAAGGAATGGGAATGTTTTTGAATTTATTAATTTATTGAATTGAATTATTATTTAATTTAATGTTTAATTCTTTCAGGAATTTCATTTTTTTTTCATTTCTTCATTTTTGAATGAATGAGAATATTTTAGCATTTAATAAGTCATTGAATTAAAATTATTATTTAATGTCGCTTAATGTTTCATTTTTTATTGAAATATGGAAATATTTTTATTTGAAATAATCAAAAAAAATATTTTTCAAAATTCAGTTGTGATGACGAATTTTCCTTGGGTTAATGACTACGAAGGGCCCCAATTTCTTCACGTCCGGAGAAATCGGCTCTCGGAATTTATTACAGGTGAATGAATAGAAGTTTTTCCCAGTTGAATAAAATCATCAATTTATTTGATGAATATTAAAAACTTTATTTGTTTATTCTTGAATGAAGAAATGAAAATATTTTTAAATTATTTAATTGGCTATGAGCCGGATATAGCTCAGTTGGGAGAGCACCCGATGCATAATCTGAAGGTCCTGGGTTCAAATCCCGGTCTGGACTTTACTATTTAATTTAGCTCAATGCATCATTTTCTAATGAAATATGGAATTTTTCCATCTGAAATTTAAAAAAATCCCAAATTTAATGGCCATTGAAATGCGATTCAATGGCCATTAAATTTTGAATTCCTCCCTCATTATATACCCCATAAAATGAAGACAGGTAATAATGTTTTGTAATTGCCTTGTGTGAATTTTCTCGGTACCTGGTGTTCAGTTATGATGACGAATTTTCCTCGGGTTAATGACTGGGAAGCGCCCCAATTGTTTCACGTCCGGGGAAATCGGTTCCCGGAATCTAGTACAGGTGAATGAATAGAAATAGAAATTTTCCCCAGTTGAATAAAATCCTCAGTTAATTTCATAAACATTAAATCATTTTATTTCTTTTTTTAAATAAAGAAATGGAAGTATTTTTGAATTTATTAATTCATTGAATTAATATGAATTAATATGAATTCAAGTGATCGTCAATTAATTTGAATAAATATTAATTATTTTATATCATTATTTTGAAATGAAGAAATGAAAATAAATATTATAAATAAATATTTGTTCAATTTGGTTTAATGTTAAATTTTTTAATGGAATATGGCAATTTTTTATTTGAAATAATCAACAAAAACATTTTCCCAAATAAATGGCTTTTTTCCCTCCCCTCAATAGAGATTTGACTATCAGAAACGCGAATATACCCGGTAAAATGTGATTTGAAAGACGTAATTCGAAAATCGAGGCTCCACCGTTCCCCGACGGCAGCGACCCTCCGTCGGACGTTGAAATGAAATTACTCGACCCTTGTCGGGGGATATATGGAGTTTGTCCAAAAAGGGGGTAGAGGAGAATAACGTGTATACAGCCAACGGGACCATACACCGTACTTCTCCACAAAGCCCTCGTTTGCTGAGGACAACACAGAGAATATCAAGCGGCATTCGGTGCCCCGAAGGGACCTAAACCACTAAACGTTTTGTGATTAACTTCCATTAAACGTTTCTTAATGTGAACAATTCATTCTTCAATTTCCAAAAAAAACAACACGTTTTCTCAATCCGTAAAAAAAAATCATCGAGGTGACTCCACTTACATTCTATTTTATATTTAATAAATTGAAGAGTATTGACTCATTTCTCTTATCGCCATTAAACGTTTTTTAATGTTAGGAATCAATTCTTCTAGTAAAAAAAATCAGATTGTGTCCTCAATTCCAAATAATCATCGAATTCGATTGATTCTCACCCAATTTTCGGTTGAATCGATTGAAGAATTATCCCATTAGTTCATGAGTTTAATTTCTTTGATTTAATTTAACAAGTCGTGCGGTTTTTAATGTCAGTGATTAATTCTTGGATTTAGTTGCTCTTAACGAGGCTCCTTAAGAGCAACTAAATTCGGTAATAATTAAGCCCCGTTAACAGGAACTGAATCATTTTATTATTGTAAAAATCGAATCGTATTTTCCATGATTTTTTTAATCACTTTCAATGTGTCGATATGTAATATATTCATGGTGTAATGCTTATGACAAGATAGTGATAAATAAGAATTTATTCGAGTTTTGTGAAGCGCAAACCTTCTGAGATTTAAGGATGTCCAAGTACTTTGGGTTTTGGTTCTCCAGTGAAATTATTTTCTACTTTTGTAGTCGAACATCAGAGCTTTCATTTGATCTTCATTTGATGTCAAATTTCCGGACATTTTACAATGATTTTTGTTTCGTACCGAAATGTGTAATTTTATCATTTGCAAGTGTCAAATGTCTCATGTGTCGTTTCTCAATCCTGAATTTACCAAAATATTCAAATTTCTACAACCTTGACAATTAAATATTTTCCATGGGCCATTTCCCCGATTTACAAGAATTTAGACAGCTGCAGTTCTCACTTGAGAGAATGATTAAAAATAAATCCGTTGATCGTCATAAACATTCTACAGAAAAATAAAATCAATCCCAAAAAATAAAAGTCGTAAGTTTTTCGAGTGAATTTAAATTCGATTTAAGATCAAATCGTTTATGGAATTTCTCATTCAGCTTGAAAATTCAGGAAAATTATTACTTGAATTTTCAAAACATTTAATAATTTTCATTGTCATGGGGACCTGAAAATTGCAATTCCATTGAATACTCCAGAATTCAACTGATTTTTCAATAAAGAAATATATAAACTTCTTGTGAGTGGGTGATTGTTAAAAATTTCAAGATGTTTCACTTGAAATTTCAGGAGTAATTTTCTAACAACGTAGAAAACATTTAAAAAATCTGCAAAAAAAACAGAAAGTTTACTTTTGGAGGAAGATTGATGACAATGGAAAAATTCCCATTTTTAAAAATTACGAGCAGTTTCTACAAGTAATTTATAAACTATCAAGTTTCCACCGTAAAAATAATTTCACCGAAACCGTAAAAAATTAATTCATACCTAAAAAACAAGGTTCCTGAAAGTTTCAACAATGCCACTCATTTATTTATAAACAATTAATACTAAAAAAGTAATAATTCTGTGCAAAACGTAATTTGAATGACATGTAATGTTTTTCAAATTTTTCTCGCGCAATTTAATTGACAAACTTGACGATTGAAAATGCTTGAATCTACAGTGCGGTCTGTACCAAACTGTAAAATCTACTTGGACATCCTTAATCCATTGAAAACAACTTACTTCTCTCGTGTAAATATTAGAAAATCTGCATATTAGGAAATGTCTCTCAGTTCCGCGGGTAAAAAAACTGAATACAAAAATTCCCCGATCAGTTAACATGTGCAATTGCCTCGAGTCCAAATAATTTCCCTCACCTCTCCCCGAAAAAAAAACTGCACCTACCTGTTCTTAGCGGCAGCAGCCCGATCCCTCTGCCTCCTGTTCTTGAACCAATTCCCCACCTGCGTCGGCGTGAGTCCCGTAGCCGCAGCCAATTCCCTCTTCTTCCCCGGATTGGGATAAGGATCCTGCAGATACCACTCTCTCAAAAGCGATCTCGTTCTCTCCTTGAAACAATGTGTCTTCTGTTCACCATCCCAAATAGTCCTCGGCAGTGGAAATTTCTTTCTAACCCTGTATTTATCAACAGGACCGAGAGGCCTGCCCCTCAGTTTCTCCGCCTCCGAGTAATGCGCCTCAAGCCACATTGCCTGCAATTTACCATGCGAATCTTTGGTGAACTTGTGCCTCTCCAATATCGCATAGAGTTCCCTGTAATGTCCCGAGTGAAATGCAACAATAGCCCTTGCCCTCAGGACCGCCTCACTCTGATTCAACTCCTGTATATTAGGATGTGCCACTGGTAAACTCCACAAAAATCTCGCTAACCTCTCGATATCACCGCTCTCCTCCAGTGTCTCGCAGACTGTCGCCACTTGGCTAACGCTGAACGACAGCGTTGGCAATGCGAATATTGGCGCTGGTATTATTGGTCCACTGCTGCTAACTGCCGATGCAGCACCTGCTGGCGCCACTGCCGACATTATCAATGTCAAAAAAAAAAACAACAACCTAAACAATTAAATTCCCAATCACTGTCACTTCACAATGGCATCGAAGTCCCCGAGTTTACCGAAACTCCTCGATTTGTACTTTCCTCTCATCTTGACATCATCTCAGTCATCACAATAAACAGTGTCAGAATTACAATCGCCCACTTGTTCATCAGCACTTTACGTATTTTTCACCAACTGACATTTTTACTCGTTTAATCCAACACTGGGAGAGGTCTAGCCGAGGTTTCCGGGGATTTTTTTTTTGACAATTGTCTCTGCGTACTCCTATCAAAATAATCGAGGGGCGACGGTGGACTGGCTGTTGCCTCGATCGTATCGGATAGCAAACTGGTTTCGCTTACAACCCGGCATCTCTGTCCCAGCCCTACCCAGCATGATACGTTTGTACGCCCGTTGCACCAGGAGTCTCTCTCCATCGGTGCTACCTACTCCAACTTTCCCAAGCATCCATCCCCCTCGATATTCATCCCCACCTCGGCGCTATTTCCTTTTTCGTTGGAGTCCTTCGTTATCCCCACTATGGTCAACACACGTATCAACCTTCCACTGGTGGCCAATGACTAGGCCACGCCCATACACCAAGAGCCGATTGGCCGGATCCAATCGTCGTTGCTATGGTTACAATTCTTCGAGTTACGGGGGATCGCTACTGTGTGAGTTTAATTATCCCCACTGCCGCGACTTCTTTACCCCTCCTTCCGCGGGGAGGGAGTCGTGTTTTACCACGGTGATATGAACCGCTATCTGTAGCTCGGGTACACGATTGTACAGCACGCCCCACCACTGCTGGAGGGCTCTTTGTCGCTCGGCGTTTGGTCTGGAGGAGATGCTCAAACGAGCCCGAGTCCTGCTAAGATGCGCTGGGGGTGACTCGCCAGTGGGGTGAGGGGCGACAGTTTTGGGACTTTAGGATTATAATAGCGAGGGATTTTTGGCATTTGGGGGTGGGGACTTTTTGGCTGGCGATTTTTTCCTTTTTTAACGCTGATAGAAGAAATTGTTTTTGTTGAGGTGGGTCTTTTTTGAAACTAGTATTATATACTCGAACCAATTTCAAAAAATTTGTAATTTGGGATTTGAAATTTGCTTCATGTGTCCCTTTAAGGGACGCATGTATAACTTCCCGATGCGAGTTGAAATTTGAAATTGGAAATTCGGAAATTTCTTCCGAAACATTTCAATTCTTTCAAATTCCAATTTCCCGAATTTCAATTTTGACGTGAATACGTCTGGTTTCAATATGGGGGGGGGGTCATTTTGGGAAATGATTCTTATGTGTAGCGCCATCTATCGGAATTCTAGAAAATTCTAGACATTTCGAGATAATTTTAGAAGTTTCTTGAAGTTTCGAAAAAATTCAAGGAGATTCCAGAAATTTCGAGGAAATTCAGGGAGTTTCTAGAAAATTCGAGAGAATTTAAAGAAACTCCAAAGAATTTGAGGGAATGTAAGGAGTTTCTAGGGAATTCGAGAAAGACGGAAAGACCATGGACGCATCCACAATTACAGCGGTATCGAAGATACAGCCGCCTGCAATCTTGACACTTCTTTTTTGAAGAACTCAAGACGGGGTGGGAGGTTTTCTCTCCCACACTAATCCAGTCTTAAGCAAGTGAATGCCTATCGATCGCAACCAATATCATTGCGATCGCACTACGCGGTCGCCCGAGAGCGTTAACGAAAAAAATTGGCAACACACACATACACATACACATACACATACACTTTTCTAAAAACCATCTGGGGAGCATCTACTCGTCATGAAACGTCGACATTTCATGAAATTACGATTTTTCATTTCCGAGGCCATTTTTCTCGAGGCCAGATTCCCTATCGGGAAGTTAATAAATAAAATCTTATGGTGAGTATCAATTATTTCTTCTTGAGATACATTTACTTGAATCAAATAAAACAGTCCTCGGCGTCAAGTCACATGTGTTCACCACAAAAATGGAAAAGTTCTGTTTTTTTTAACCTAATACAATCACGAGTCGAGAAATTTTCTGCTTTCATGAATTGATAAAAATTCGTAGCTAGGAGATGACTACATTAAGGAATGAATTGAATGTTGTTTTCGCGAATGAAGCCGATGGTTAAATTGAGCTTTCCGTACATCACATTGAACGAAATTTGTGATATCCAAGTTTGCGTAGAATTGTCGTAGTCTGTAATTCTGTTGTTGTAAACTAATGCGATTTTATCGAGTCGTACACTGAGAAAAAAAATTATTTTTGCCAAATATCCATTTACTTGAGAGAAGTATTTATTTTGTCAATTTCATATTTCTCCTGCCGAGTCATTCTCGGTCAATTCTCATTAGGCTTCAATTGTGACAATTATATTGCTCTAGAAGATGATCATGTTAGCTATGATCTTGAGTGAACTCCCTCAATAATTATCAACATTAAAAAATTATTTAAAATTCTTTCCCCTAGAAAATACGAAATTTAGGAAAAATTAATAATTATTGAAGGAGTTCATCGAAGGTCACGTGCAGCATAGTCTTCCTCTAGAGCAACATGATTGTCATAATTGAAACGTAATCAGGCTTGTCTGGGAATGACTCGGATAGAGAAATTCAACTTTAAAAAAGTAAATCCTTCTCTCAAGTAAATAGATATTTGGCAAAAATATATTTTTTTCTCAGTGTAGTTTCACTGAAATTTCGCGCCATTTTATTTAATGAGAATTGTAATTTTCATTTTAATCATTCCATGGTAATCGACCAGGAAAAATCAGGTAAATATTTTATTGAATTTCCAATTACATTCGAAATTTCACGTTTTCTCCCCCAATTGAATCGAATTCAATGGACTGTCCCTCGAACTGGCATTTAATTTTTTTCTAATTTTTCGATATTTCTAATTTCATGTAATTATTTATTTTGAAATATTTGGGTTTCTATTTATTTTTAATTATTTAATTTTGCAAACTATAAAGAGAAGAATCCCCAATATTTGTTTTTACCTTTAGATACTATATACACCGATATCAATATATCCCGATAAGTCCTCCTTGTTTGACGATACACTCCGGATTTAGATAATGCGAACCCAGAAATTATCACCACTCGATGAGAAAAAAAAAATCGCCGCCCCTTGAGCACTTGGATGATGGTGTTTTCCCCAAGATATTTACAAGAAATATGAAAATGAGATTACGGGGTAAAAAGGGGGAGGGAAGAGCTAGCAGACAGCGGACGGATTACCGGTTTTTCTCGGGTATTAGGAGGTAGAACAGATACTCAGTTTTTCCCCATACCTCATTCACGGAAAAGGTGGATTTATCGTTGGACGAGATCTCTTAAAATGAACTAGAACAACAATCTAAATAGCACACTACCTCGTCAGGGAAAAAAAAAAGAATAGGTCGTCTGGAACTGTTTAAACAAAAAATATGTAGCTGTTGATTTTTCTTAATGAAAAAAAAAAACAAAAGAACTATTTCTATTAATTATTTTAGGGGCTAATTGATGAAAGAAATTGAAAAAAAAAATTCTGACGGAACAATGACATATTTGAATCAAATAAATGAATTATTACATTTTAATAAATTCGTTATCTTCGCCGTCTGGGGAATTATTCAATTTCTAACTAACAAAGTCTTTATTTGGATTAAGGAAACATTCGTTTAAACTCAAAAAACTATTTTGTTAACATGAATAAAAATTAAAGAATAAATTCGAGTTTTTTCATTCATTTGATTCAAAGTTTATTTAATTGAAATGAAAATTAAAAGTCTTGCCCAAATAATTTTCAAAGCCCAACGAATTTGAGAAGTTACTAAACAATATGTTATAAAAATAAATTCAAAACACCGCGATATTTATCTTCATTTACGTTACTTTCACAATTTTTTCTTAGAAAAAACTACTATATCAGTACAAATCACCTACAGTGCGATAAATTCTTCGGAATAAAAATGGACGATCAATGTTTCGTTAATTTTTCACTCGTTTCCAGAATAAAAATTGTCCAAAAATCGATTTTAGATTTTTTTTTCAATTTTTTTCCATTTTCAGTAGATTTTGCTCTCTGTACACTCTCTAAAATTCACTGTCACCATCACCAATCCACAAAAATCAACATCTGGAAGCAATCTCGTCACAGGTACTCTCGACTCCACCTTCACCTTTTTTTTCCAGCGTCACTGCCACTTTTATTTTTAGTAACCTCCCTGTAATTTACGACGGGAGGGCAATAACATGGGCACCATCTTTCACTGGATATTCTTCGAACGCTCAATGCAGTCGGGTATCGATGTTTGTATAGTAGGTATGGGATACGGAAAGTGAGACGGAGGAGTGAGAAGTGCCTATTGGGTTTATACATTTCCTTGATCAGGTGTTTGGGACTGTTTGAGTGTTTACGATTTAGGATACAACATTTTCAAGAATAGTTATCCATTCAAAACTCATTGCATGAATTAATTGTTAGAAAAAATAGCAATTTTATGAACGAAGTAATGAAATGTCAAATTTCACCGCAAATTCAATGGAATTTCAATTTTTTTTTAATCCTTCAAATTTTTTAACATCATTCTATTCATTTCCACGGAATAATTGAACTGAAATTTACACGTTTCATGGATTTTTTCGTTAAATTGTGAAATTTTAATGACGAAATGCCATAAAATGTCACTTGACTTTCAGTGGAATTTCAAATTTTTAAGCATCAGGAAGTCTTCTATTAATTTTCATGGAATAACTAGACGGAACTTTACATATTCCAATGAATTCCACCATTTCTAATCCTTTGTCTTCAAATTCTAATGCACAAACTAGTTCCGTCCCTCATGTTCCCTAAAAAAATAATTTTGTTTTCTCTCCTGTTTAAATATTGTCTTTCCGATACATGAAAACGTCGTGAAGTAAAAAGAGACAGCTCCACTCAACCAAAATTGTAGAGTAACTACATCAATTTTAATATTTCATTGCATGCTAATTGATCCGGAAAAATCAGGTAAAT